CCTTTGCATGCATGAGGCCCTGGGTTCGATTCCTCAGCACCACAAAAGCAAAAAGAAAAAAGCCGGAAGTGCTGAGGGACAGCGCCCAGGCCCAGGGTTCAAGCCCCATGACCGGACCCAAAATAAAATAAAATAAAATAAAAAGAGAAAGAAGGAAAGCAAGACAGAAATAAGGATAGAAAGAAAAGAAAAGCTGGGTGCTGGTGGCTCATGCTTGTAATCCTAGCTACTCAGAGCCAGCCTAGGCAGGAAAGTCTGTGAGCCTCTTACTTCCAACTGAAGGAAGTGGAGTAGTGGTTCAAATGGTAGAGTGCTAAGCCCTGAGCAAACCCCCCCCCCAAGCCCCCAAACAAACAAACCTTAGGGACAGCATCCAGGCTCTGAGTTCAAGCCCTAGGAGAAAACAGGGGCAGGGGAAGAAGGATATAGAGAGGGGAAGGAAGGGAAGAGGGAGAGGGGGAAAGAGGGAGAGGGAGAAAAGAAAGGGAGAAAGGGAGAGAGAGGGAGAGAGATATGCATGTTCCTGGCTCTACTTAGACCAGGAGGAACTGAAATTGCATATACTACTGTGTGTGTGTGTGTGTGTGTGTGTGTGTGTGTGTGTCAGCACCAGGGCTTGAATTCAGGGCTTCATGATCTCATCTGGCTTTTTTTTTTTTTTGGTCGGCCGTGGGGCTTGAACTCTGGGCCTGGGCACTGTCCCTCAGCTCTTCAGCTCAAGGCGAGCACTCTACCACTTGAGCTACAGCGCCACTTCCGGTTTTCTGGTGGTTTATTGGAGATAGGAGTCTCACGGTCTCTCCTGCCCGGGCTGGCTTTGAACCGCGATCCTCAGATCTCAGCCTCCTGAGTAGCTAGGATTACAGGCGTGAGCCACCAGCGCCCGGCTCATCTGGCTTTTTTGCTTGTGGCTGGTACTCTACCACTTCATCTAACCCTCCAGCCTGACATTTTGCTGGTTAATTTAAGATGGAGTTGCCCAGACTTTTCTCTCTGGGTTGGCCTTAAAGAGTGATCCTCCAAGTCAGTCTCTTGAGCAGTTGGCTCAGATTATAGATGTGCACCACAAGCAGAGCTGAAAAAACTATTTTTCAAAGTGAAGGTTTTCTAGGAGGCCAAAGGCCCTCTGGAGACTTGGTTGCTTAGCAGTGCAGGAGAGACCTTGAGCACCAGCCCAGCCTACAGCAGTTTCCATTGCTAAGCCATCTACTTTTTCCAAGCTGCACCTCCCCTGTCTGTGAAAACAAGGTTCTGGAGATAAAGTTCAAATCAATAGCCATGCTTCCTCCCCGACCCCTTGGGGAGCCTCTAGCCTGGCCTAGCCAGAAACGCTGTGCAGCCTCACGGTTCCATCAATTAGGCGAAACTTGCTGAAAATAACCTGCAAGAATAGACTTTCTTTTTCTTTTTTTTTCCTCAGTGAAGGAAATCGAGTTTATAATGTGATAGGTTTCTGAACCTTGACGTTAAAGGGCCTGTGGTACAAATCTTTGATGTCATGAGGCCAAGGTACCTTTGTGGGATCTACCGAAAAATTGAACGTTTTTCTCTCCTCTTTCTATCTCTCTCTGTGTCTGTCTGTCTCTTGATAAGATCTTACTATGTAGCTCAGACTGGCCTCAACTTCATGATCCTCCAGCCTCAGCTTCCTCATTCCCAAGTGCTAGGGTTATTCATAGGTGTGTATTATCACCAAGCAACAGGTGGTTTTCCCCTCCTATAAGATGAAGCAGAACAGTATAAGAGAAAAGGCCAAATGGTGTCGAGAGTCCTGTGGTCAAACAAAGTCCTCAGGACACCGTACAGAGAGAGGCTCTTCCACAGCAGCCAGGCTCCTGACCCCGGATCCTCTGGAGGGCAATGCTTTCGCGCAAGGTGCGATGCTAGAGCAGTCAGTGCCAGACATCAGACGAGGAGCCGATTTTACATGAGGATGCCTTACAGCAGGGCCAAGTTCGCTGCTCAACCCACCCCCACACACACCAAGAGCCCTTTATTATCCTAGCCCTCTGCCCTGCCGCTGGCTTTTATAGTACTGTAATAGAAGTTATTCCCTCCCCCACCCCTCAGTGTTGAAAGGATTGAGTTGTCACTGTATTCTATGCATCTCAGTGTTTCACATGTCAATCTAGAAAGGTCTGTGGTGGCAGGATGACACAACACAACTGCCTGACTTGAAAGGCTAAATGGACAAGTTACTTAAATTCAAGCCTCAGGTTTCTGAGCTGCAAAATGGGAATGCGACTGAGTGTGGTGGTGTATGCCCAGAGTCCTAGATGTTTGGAAGACAGAGATGGGAGAATCCCAGGCTTCAGCCAGACCAAATATGTGAAAAAGCGAACGGACTGAAAGTGTGGCTCCAGTGGTAGAGTTTGCCTGGCAAGTGTGAGGCCCTAAATTCAATCCCACAAACAACTAAAACTAAAAAAAAAAACAAAAAACACAAAATCCCAAAAACATGAAGGATAATACCTATTTTTCAGAATTACAATGGAGTTTAAGTAAGGTCATGCATTAAAAAAAGCAAATTGTTCAAAATCCATTTGGCAGCCAATGTATTTGCTGTCATTTCAACTCCCTGTTTTTGCCAATGGCTGTTTCCAAGAAGGCTGATGAAATTTCACCTGCTGTTTTATCTCTTTTTCCACCAAGGAACTTGCTTGAAGGCAGGCAGGCAGCCAATGAGACAAGGGAGAAAGCAATGAGCCTGCTAACTCCAAAGTGCGACACCTTGATTAAAAAGGGACCATCACTCCAATCCCCAGGAGGCATCTGAGCTTAGTCTTGCTTCCAAATGAGGCATTCACTGGTGTGACATCATCATACCCTAGATTACAGCCAAGGTGACTCAGGACAAAGAGATAATGGCGATGACAAAGACACCCTTTGCCCAACACAAATGATCGTATTCTTTTGTACTGATCCATTCTTATGCACTAATTCATTTCTACAAGACTTGGAACCCGTTCCCAGCCCTGGGAGTAAGCCCTGGGGGGTAGGGATGGAGGAGGCAGAGACTCTCTTCCATGACCAAATGTGCTCGATTAACACTGGCTTCTTAGCGTCCATGTGTCATTTATGCCTACAGAGGACAGAAGCCTCTCATGACCCCAGGCCTGGTAGGCAAATTGGGTAGATTTGGAAACTGATGCTTAGAAAGGTTAGATCAACATGCTCAAGTTTCCATGACAAGTAAGAGGGTCAGGAGTGGTTCAAAACTTCTACCTCACTTGGGTTATAATGGTGGGCTTCTATAGGCTTTGTTGACATTTTTGGGACTTGAACTCTGGGCCTGAGCACTGTCCCCGAGCTTTTGTGTTCAAGGCTAGCACTCCTACCACTTGAGTACCAATGTCAATTCCAGTTTTCTAGTGGCTAACTGGAGATAAGAGTCTCATGGACTTTCCTGGCCAGGCTGGCTTTGAACTGTGATCCTCAGATCTCAGCTGCTTGAGTAGCTAGGATTATAGGTGTGAGCCACCAGCACCTAGCTCCCAATGTATCTTTCTAGCTCCACTTTCTAGGCTTCTTTCTTCTCCTTTACTCAGTGGCCTGTATGTTGCTCCACCTCATTAATACCTGCTTGTTCACAACAGTCTCTTTTGCTTTTTCCAGTAACCACCAAGACTCTCGGCCCACAGAGTGTGACAGTTCACACTGTAATTCCAGCACTGAAGAGGTGGTGGCAGGTGGTAATCACTAGTTTGAGGCCAGCTTGGCTTATATAGTGAAACTCTGTCTCAAATCCTTACTTTTCCCACCCGCCTTCAACCAAAGCCCAACCCTGGATTATTCAAGACATTTATTTCATGTATCTGGGATCACAGGCCTCCAGTCAGTCTCTTCCTATTCCCCGTTCTCTACCCCCATCCCCAGGAAGATGTGATAGGAGCTCTCAACCACTTGGCTCTCCAGCAGCTCAGATATCCACTCCCATTAATGTAATTGAGTCCTCCTCCCCTATCTCGAATTCTCATTATAGTTAGCCTGGTGGCTTTGCTGAGTGGGTCACTTACGGTTCCCAGCACACAGTGAGGTACAGAACAAGCATTCTGTTCCCCATCACTCCCCAATTTTTCATGCACCTTCCAGGTTCTCCTGTCTACTTAAAGCACAAGGTTGGGAGAGGGGCCCAAGGATGCTGCTTTCTCTGTCTGCCAAGTTGCAACGGGGAACAGTCAGTTAAGGTCTGTCAGACAGAAACTATTTGATAAAATTGGGCCTCATTATTCTGTGAGAGGAGATAAAATTATTTTTGACTTGTGAGCATAGCTGTGCATAGGTGCATACCTAAGGATACGATACTCAAAAGCTCTTCTCCCTTACAGACGCCCACCAAGGACCTGGCTCTTCCAGTACATGTACACACTCACAGAGGATCCCTGCCTTGAGTGTGTACCAGGCCCCTGGCTGCTCCCCTGCCATGGAAACCTGTGCCCTGACCTCTGACACTTGCCACACAGAGACAGGAATAGTGAGGCATCATTAGGGATGGCAGAATTACTGTACTGATAATAGGTTTCAACAGAGTTAAAATTCTTAAATTCCTAATGAATAGCTCCTGAAGAAGCTCTTTTCCAAAAAGAAGCTCTTTTCCAAGTAAGTTCACAACTCTCATTTAAGCCTAATCTATCTGGACACAGTTGTATGCTTATAGTGCTAGTTATTTTGAAAGCTGAGAAGGGAGGATCCTGAGCTCAGGAGTTGGGAGGCCACCTGGGTGACATAATAAGACTGGGTCTCAAAGAAACATAGAGATAGAGCACTTGCCTACCAGAGGCTCTGGGTTTGATCCTAATCTAATTCATAAGAATGCTTTACTAAGAATCCATTTCCTTTCACGTTGGAAGCAGAATTTCCATGTTTGTTTTTTCATCACCAAACTTGAATCTGTATATTTATAAAACTGCTAGATTACCATTAGAGGAAGAACACGCTCTGTCTGCTCACTCTGTGAAGTAACCTTGGAAAGTAGGAAGCAGTTTTAGGCCATTTCTTACCTCGATCCAATGACATCAAAAAGATGCTGCCAGCGATCGTTGATTTTGCTGAGCTTGTCTTTGATCTCGGAGGCTCGCGTCTTGCTGCTGGCCTGAATCAACTGCTCACCCATTTGCTTCAACTGGGACTTGTTTTCACTGAACAAGTTTATCTCCTCCATGCAGTCCTGGGAGAGGCATCAAAACAAGAAGCTCAATCATTACCCCCAATTTCATTTCATTCTTTTCTTTTTTTTTGGTGCCAGTATGAGAGCTTGGGCTTTGTCCCTTAGCTGCTTCTGTTATGGCTGGCGATCTACCACTTGAGCCATAGTTCCACGTCTATCTCTTTTGCTGGTTAATTGGAGATAAGAGTCTTATGGTCTTTTCTATCTAGACTGGCTTCAATCTGCAATTCTCAGATCTCAGTCTACTAAGTAGCTAGGATTACGGATGTGAGTCATTAGTGCTAACCCCCAAGTTCATTGCTTCTTCAGACACAAACATGCAGGTGCCTCTTAGTTTTTTTTTTAATGGAAAAATTTCTCATACTTGTGAGTTAATACAACTCCACAGAAGAGGCTAATTCAAAATGTGTGACAGTCCTGATTTTCTTAATATGATAGCTCCTTTGATTTCTCTCATGGACCTACTTTGGGAGCCCACAAATGGACAGAATTCAGTCCCAGGGTGACTGTGTGGCATTTTGGTTTAAAAGACCACTCTGGTTACCTGTATTACTGAGCTACATCACACCTGGGGCCTAGTGAGCACCTAAAATCACAAACCGCATTGTGGTTGATCTCTCCACTTTGGCAATACCTAGAGATGCCATCATAGGTCCAGGACACCAAGATGCTTGCTTGCTTCAGGAGACAAAGACCCTCCTCCTGCCAGACTTCCCAACCCAGAGAAAGCAGTTCTCCTCACTGAATGCCCACCTACAAAGGGCTCCCATCTCTCTGGAACCTTCTCTTTTCCCTCAGAAAGATGAAAAGTAGTTCCCAAGTCTCTTCAGCTCTGTTCCAGGAAAAGCCCCTGTAACATTAGATTCTCAGAAGAGAGGAGGGGGTCCTCACTGTACCCACCAGAGCACCCCTGCTGGCTCACCTTCTGTAACTTCTCAATCATTTCTTCAATGCTGATGTCTGCTGTCTGCAGGACCTTGTTTTCCATTTGCACCAGCCATGCACACAGCTCCTTATTTTTTTCATTGAACAGGAGCCATGAATTGAGTCTGTCTTCAATCTCCTGTTTGCGGATAGCCACCTGTGTATGAAGATGCATTTGGCAGCTGAGGCTAGCCAACAAGGAAGGTGCCCTTCCCGCTGGTGAAAGGACTGTGAATTTCATTCATTTTAGTCAGCATCTATAAGGACTTAAATCTGTGCTTTCTTCCTCTTAGAAACCTAGGGCTTAGCATCATCATACCTTTGCCAAAGTAACAACTAGCTGACTGAAGGGACTGACTTCCAACCGTTACACATCTATCACTCCCAGGTTAAAATAAACATCAGAAACAAGAAAAGTTGAAGATATTCAGTACCACACTGATTTCTTCTGTTTTGGGTCCTTTCAATATTCATTTACAATGGCCGACTACCTGCTAATTGAAATCTGACGCAAATCTTTCCCTTTTGAAAATTTGTCAAATTCTCAAACATCTTGTTTAATTTAAAAACTATAATCCAGATCGCAATATAAATCAGACATTTATAATATAATGTACCAGGCAAACTAAAACTGCATACATGTTGAAGTATTTAAACATAGCAAAAATAAAACAAAACTCAAACCAATGCATATCACTCATCAGATCCATGGTAGCTTTTGCATGGAAATCACAGAAATGTCTGTAGCATTCAGACTGACCCCCAAATATCCAATACTTTGGTGTATATAAACAACTCCAGCAAGCAAGCAGACTTCAGCAAAAGATCCTCCAACTCATAGGGTTCAAATGGATTACTTAAATCAATTTGAATGTAAATAATGCAAAGCACCCTTGATAAAGGTACAAAAGGATTTTTAGGTCCTAAAAAATCTTTAAATACTTCGAGTTAAAAGTGGGTCACAGAGGATCATTTTGGTAAAGTTTTAACACTCACTCCATAGATAGGGAAACAAAACACAGTGTCATGTTATGTACAAAACCTTCCCATGTCTTTCAGCATGAGGCAAAAGTACCACCGGCCCAGCCAAATGTGTTTGAAAGGCTTTAAAATGTATCCTTAGAAAAACAAGCTTTTTGTTTCCATCGCTTTTGTTTCCATCCCTCTGCCATCTATTTATCTTAGCTTTAAAAACTCTGGCTTTGCAGGGCCAGACCTTCAGCTTAATCTCACAATGGCAACAATTAGAAACATCTGGGCTCCAGTCTGCTTCTGCCTTAACTTAGAACTTCCCAAGTATTCCAAACACTTTTTGTTTTGTATCCAACTCGAATAAAGCGCTTAGAACACATTTAGACATGAGATGAAGGAATTCATTTTCCTTTGAGTTATGCGTTCTTAAAGATCATTAAGATTACTTGAAGCCTTTAATTCCTCTTGATCTCTTCACAGACATAAACTGTCTAATACTCACCGTGCCTCCATTCTGGGGAACAGTGCGCTGCTGAGAGACCACCCCCGCCAAGTTTGGCAGCTGATCTGATCACTTCTTAAGACTTTAAAAACCCCAACTCTTCTACATAAAAATCCGATTGCATGTGCACGCAGAGTACCCCCCATCTTACAGGCACCCAGTACAACTCCTGCAGTCAGACCCAGAAGGAGCAAGGCTAGAGGCTTCTCCTAACAGGCAGATACCACTCACTTGTCACCATTCACTCAAGCGAGAGTGAGCTGCATGCACCTCCCCTCAGCCCCGCGGTTCTTCTCCAGGCTTAAGGTTATTTTCAGAAAGTCCCTTAACAATGTGCAAACTTGCAGCGAGACAGTGCCGTGGAAACAAAGGAGCTGTTTCTGTTGTGCATGATGCTGACTTCTAAACTTCAGAATCTAAAGGAACAGTGGTGGCCAAGGACCCCACGGAAAAGGGCCTCAGGCTTAACAAAATTAAACTCCTTTCTGCTTTGGCCTTCGGGGCCACAGCTGAGGGACTTACGCGCAGGCAGAGGTCCTCCCATTGTCTGTGCAAATGCTCTATCTGCTCCTTCAGCACCATCACGTCCTCCTCCAGAATGTGCTGGCTCAGGTCAGCCTTCATAGTTTGAAGTTCTTTCAAGTTCAGAGTCCAGTTAGCCAACGACTTCTCTAGTTCCTGCATTTAAACACAAGAAGGAAGGAACAGGGGAGAAAGCCTTTAACTGAAGCTGCAGTTGTTTCCAAACCTGTAGGCTAATCCTTTGATTAGACTCTGGGGGAGGGGATCAGGCTAGGGGAGGGACCTTCGGAATGAGAAACAGGCCTGGCTGGGCCCGAAGGCCTGGTTGGCCAGCTCCACACTACCTTGCGCTCAAAGGAACACTTTTTTCGACCCCCCCCTTCTCATTTCCTCAGGTAGCTCAAATGTTTATGTAACTCGCTCTAATTTAAAAACCATGTAGCCAGCACCCTAATTTAGAGGACTGTGAAATCTAATAATTAGTTGAAGTTTAATAATCGTACACATATTTTTAATATGGAAGAAAACGCAACTTCTCATTAAAAAAAATAGAAACAAAAAACTCCCTGCTGAGTGCTGGTGGCTCCAGCTTATAATCCTAGCTGCTCAGGAGGCTGAGATCTGAGGATCGCTGTTCAAAGACAGCCCAGGCAGGAAAGTCCATGAGATCTTAATCCCCAATTAACCACCAGAAAACCAGAAGTGGTGCTGTGCCTCAAAGTGGTAGAGTATTAGCAAAATAGCTCAGGGATAAGGCCCAGGTCCTAGGGTGAACAAAATAAAACACCCTAAGAAATGCATCGTTTCTACAGTGGTCATCATGTAACATTTTCTCTCCTAAGGGAGTTATTTTTTAGCTAGCTTTCTAAATGAAAGAGTATAATGGAAAAAACACAAATTTCTGATAATTAGTAGAGATTAATCAGCAAAAGATTTCCGTGGGCTACAAAAATTTTTTTTTTTGTTTTATCATGGTGCTGTGTATCAAACTAAGAGTCTCAAGAAAGCTAGACAAACGACCATAAGCCATTCCCTGGGGTTCATTTGTCTTTTAAAAATCTATTTTGTGCTGACCCTGGGTCTTGAACTCAGGGCCTGGGTGCCATCCCAGAGCTTTTTCGTTCAAGGCTAGTGCTCTACCACTTGAGCCACAGCTCTACTCCTGACTTTTTGGTTGTTAAGTGGAGATAAGAGTCACACAGACTTTTCTTTCCTGGGCTGGCTTTGAACTTCAATCTCAGATCTCAGCTTCCTAAGTAGCGAGAATTACAGGTATGAGCCACCAATGCCTGGCTCATTTGTCATTTTAAAAAAAAATAGCTATTATTTTTATTACTAATTATTATTAATAATATTATCACTACAAGCTCATGTCTGTAATCCTAGCTACTCAAAGAGGCTAAAATCTGTGGATTGTGGTTTGAAGCCAGCCTGGGCAGACAAATGAGAGATTTTTATCTTCAATTAACAAGCAAAAAACCTAGACTAAATGTGTGGCTCAAGGCTGCACCAGCCTTGGGTGGAAAAAGCTAAGGGAGTGTGAGACCCTAAGTTCAAGCCCCATACTGGCATGAATAGACACATGTACACTTTTGCGTGTGCACGTGCATACACACACACACACACACACACACACACACACACACACACACACACCTACCCCTTAGGCTCAATCTCCAAGCACACACAAAAAAGATAAAATAAGTACTTTAAAATAGTTTCAAAAGTAATGACCAGTATTGTGGCTTAAGCAGTAGAGTGCTTTCTTCTCACACACCAGGCTCTGAGTTCAATAACCAGGGTTGTAAAAGCCAAGCCAAAATAACAACAAAAGCGTACCAAGAACTATCTCTAACCGAAGATACATCATACTATGTAAAGAAAATGAAACATTACTGACAACACTTAAAAAATAGCTAAACAGAGAACTATGCCACATTTGTGAACTGGCACTCGATTTCAATAAGATACTAATTTGCATCAAGTTACTCTATAAAGTGCATGCAATACTAACAAGTCTTATCAGGACTTTTTGTAGTTTGGAAGGTTGCTTCTCAAAGTGAAGAGCTGGGTGAAGGTGCAGCTCAGTGGTAGAGCACTTGCCTAGCATGCAGCAGACCCTGGGTTTGATCTTTAGCAAAGGCAAAGGGGAGCGATTATGAAGAACAAAGACCAAGGAATGTGGAAGAGCAAGTGCTACACATCACCACTGAAATGAAGACCTGTTATAATAAAGCCTGGTAATCAAGACAGATTGACAGTAAAGCTGAAGAAATGGAATAAGAAAATAGGGTACAGAACTGAGAAACAAGCCTATATGAGAACTTGAGATCCGACTGGACTATTCAATAAACAGACACCAGGATAACTAGTTATCTATCTGAATAATATTCAAAATAGGCATTCAATTAAAGCATTTGTAAACAATTCCTAAGACCAAATAAAGAGGCAAAGGCAGAAAGCAACAAAAGTTTTCAGAGGGAAATACGAGGTTTTTGTTTTTGTTTTCCTGATCCTGGGCTTGAACTCAGGGCCTGGCTGCTGTCCCTGAGCTTTTTGAGCTCAAGACTAGTGCTCTTCCACTTGAGCCATGGCTCCACTTCTGGCATTTTTTGCTTTTTTTTTTTTTTTTTGGTGATTAACTGGAGTGAGTCTCATGGACTTTTCTGGCTGGCTTTGCACTGTGATTCTCAGATCTCAGCCTCCTGAGTAGCTAGAATTACAGGCGTGAGCCACCAGTGCCCAGCTGCCTAAAAGAGTGTATTCTAAGCATGGATATTTATTTCCCAAAGGAAAAGAGAGCACAAATCATATAGGAAAATGCCAATACATTCATCTATATTACAACAACATAGTCTTTTGTTCAGACAGTGACACACACACAAAAGTAGAAAAACAAGCTTTCCTATGGCTGAAGACATTTACAAAGCATGTATTCAATAGAGCAGTATTTCAATCAAGAAGATGACAAATAAGGTCAACACAAAATTGAATAAAAAGTATGAACAGGCAATTCACAAAAGGGTAGTTATGACAGGGCGATATGAAAAATACTCAATCAGAAACTGTAAAGAGATGCCACACCTGTCAGACTAGCAAAAGTTAAAAAAATACCCCACAATACCAAGTGACTGAAGAAGGGACAAACTGCATTCATATACCTGCTGTAAGCAGTGGGAAGGAAGGAGCGGGCTGGCTTTGAACCGCGATCCTCAGATCTCAGCCTCCTGAGCAGCTAGGATTACAGGCGTGAGCCACCAGTGCTTCACTTTTTTAGTTAGCACATTAGAAAATTTTGCAAGAAAGAAAAAAAGATGTAGGAAGCCTTAAGAACCCTCATTCCTAATGCTTTTCCTTTTTTTCCTTTGTTTTGGCTGCCTTTGAACTCACCATCTCTCTGCCTCAGCCCACTGACTGTTGGGTTTATCGGCATTAAATACCATTTACTTTTTTCATTTGATCTCTAAAATCACTTAAGAGAGAAAAACAAAAACAAAACAACCCGGGGCTGGGAAGGTGGCTCAGTGGTAGAGCGCTTGCCTTGTAATGCATGAGGCCCTGGGTTCAATTCCTCAGCACCACATAAGAAAAAAGCCGGAAGTGGCACTGTGGCTCAAGTGGTAGAGCGCTAGCCTTGAGCTGAAGAGCTGAGGGACAGGGCCCAGGCCCAGAGTTCAGGCCCCACGACCGGACCCCAAAAAAAAGACAAAAAAACAAAAAAAAAAAACAACCCCAAAACACAAACAAAAAACCACAACTTAACAGGTCCTCAGTGTCTTATGGCGATAGGATGGAACCTGGCCCTGCATAGACTAGTTAAGCACTCTACCACTTGAACCATGGTGTTGTGTTGTTTTTTTGTTTTTGTTTTTGGTGACCGTCCTTAGGCTTGAATTCAGGGCCTGGACACTGTCCCTGAGCTTTTGTGCTCAAGGATAGAGCTCTACCACTTGAGCCACAGATCTACTTTTGGCTTCTTTGGTGCTTAATTGGAGATGAGTCTCAAGGACTTTCCTGTCCAGTCTGGCTTTGAACAATGACCCTCAGATCTTGGCCTCCAGAGTAACTAGGATTGCAGCCATGAGCTACTAGCAAAGGGGCTCCTCTCCATGTCTTTTGAACATGAAATTTTCAGAAAAGAAAGATGCAGAACTTCTTGATGTGGAAATTTTACAGTCATATTTCTATCCATAAGTTGGCTTTGCCTTCTGCAAAGTAGTGTGCTATCAATTAGGCAGAACAAATTTGCAAAGTTTTATAAAAATGTACTCAAGCAAAAAAAACTAACCTACTGATTTAAAAAAAATCTGTAGTCATTCTTTACTCTTATTTCAAAGATAAGGTTATTTGTTACGAATAAATCTTAGACATAGCCTCTAAAATTTCAAGTCATATTGTATTACAGAAGAGAAACAGAAAGAAGACATAAAGGAGAAAACTTCTAACATCCTAAGAAGGGTATTTCTTCAAGTCTTTTTTTTTTTTTTTTTTTTTGGGTGAGTCGTGGGGCCTAAACTCTGGGCCTGGGCGCTGTCCCTCAGCTCTTCAGCTCAAGGCTAGCACTCCACCACTTGAGCCACAGCACCACTTCTGGCTTTTTCTGTTTATGTGGTGCTGGGTAATCAAACACAGGGCCTCATATATGCAAGGCAAACACTCTACCACTGAGCCACCTTCCCAGCCCCTCTTCAAGTCTTTTTTTATCTTCACATAAGGATTGTAAAAAGTATCAAGCTAAAGCTAGAAGACACCTGCATATGATGTTAGAAGATAGGATAAAAACCTTCCAAGTGAACAGAGACAGGCAAGCAAACTCTTGAAGTGTCCAGAAAAGAGCTGAGTGAGTATCTTGACCAAGGGTTCAGACTCCAGTACCTTCATCAGCTCCTTTTCTTTGTGCAGGTCCTCATGTAGCTCAGGGAGAGGGTCTTTGCTTTGTGCTTTTAAAAGCCGCAGCCTGCTTTTCAGTTCCTTGATTTTCTTTTCACACTGGTCCCAGGTCTATTTGAAAACAGGATTAAAATGGATAAGTTCATAGATCTTAAGAACGAACAGCAGTAATAGAATTGCTCATTTAATCCACAGAGTGTTCCTTTGAAGCATGATTTTGTAAATCACCCAGAAAACCTGTTTCCTTGTCTCCTGCAGCTGATCTGAAAGGGCTGTCAGCTTGCCCTGTGGCTCATTTGAGGCTCTGGGTTAGATTGTTTGGAACTAGTTATTTCTCCTTCCTTGTATCTATCTAGTCTTATTTCTTGTTTAATTTTGGAGAACCTCATATTTGAACTGCTAACTAAGGATTAGTTTCTACTACTTGTGATCTTAGCATATGATTTAACAAAAAGCTTTCAGCTACTTTTCTTCATCTTTTCTGATGTCATCCCTCCCTGACTCTTGTCTCCATCTGTGTGTGTGTGTGTGTGTGTGTGCGCGTGCGTGCGTGTGTGTGTGTGTGTGTGTGTCTCCCTCCTAGGGCTTGAGCTTTTTTTGCTCAAGGCTAATGCTCTACCACTTGAGCCACCACACTCTGATTCTAGATTTTTGGGGTTTTTTTTTTTTGGTAGTTTATTGGAGATAAGTTAGTATCACTGACTTTCCTGCCTGGGCAAATTTTGAACCAGAATCCTCAGATCTCAGTTTCTTGAGTAGATGACAGGTGTGAACCGAAGGCACCCAGCTCTCTCTACTTTTTTGCATCAATTACTTGTACAAGGGGGTTTCGTTTTGACATGTCCATACAGGCACACAATAAGCCTTGGTCAGACTCTCTCCCTGAATCACATTATTTCATTCTCTTTGCCTTCTCAAACTAATCTCAACCATTTTCACATGTGAACAGAAAGTATTCTGACCCCATTCCCCCTGCTCTTCTCTTCCTGATGCCTGGCTGGGTTAACCTCTTCAGATCCAACTTCTCCCTTCACCATTACTCTCACCTGCCACCTTTTGCTTCAGGTACTGTGTGGTCTGCCAAGCTTTCTCAAACAATATTAATAAATTGTAATCATAACAACCATAGGACATAGCAGGGAAATACTGTCACATTTAAAAATGAGAAAACAGGCTCAGAGAATACTGGCTCTTGATTTGGAAAAAACATCACTGACTAAAGCTTGGTTATCTACTTCGGGGATATACAGCAGATAGGGAGGAAAGTGGACAATTTTCAGTAGCTCAGACAAAAACAGAATGTAAAACAGATAGCTTACTGAGCACCAGTGGTTCACACCTGTAATTCTAGCTTCTCAGGAAGCTGTGATTTGAGGATCATGCTTTGAAGCTTGCCTGGGAGGAAAATACATGAGACTCTTACCTCCAATTAAGCATGGAAAAGCCAAAGTAGAGCTGTGCCTCAGTGGTAGAGGGCTAGCCTTGAGCAAAAGAAGTTCAGGAAGAACACCCAAGCCTTGAATTCAAGCCCCACAATCGGCACCAAAAAAAAAGTTAATATTCAGAAGAGAGAAAGAAAAGCAGAACTCAAAAAGAACATTATAATGTTATATCACTATAGTTTAGAGTCCTTGAGATGCAAAGCAAAATAATGACTTTTCTACTAATGACTTAGAATAAAACATTTTCCTTCTTAAATAAACAGTCCCAAATTATCTAGGATGTTCACTGTGTAGAAAAGTACATTCTCTGATGATGGCAGACAACTTTAGTATCACTGTACTTATTTTTATGTATTATACCCCAGGACTGTAGAACACATGTAGAATGTACTCATAAAAGTACATCTTAGCCAGGCACTGGTGGCTCCTGCCTGTAACCCTAGCAACTCAGGAGGCTGAGATCTGAGGATGTGGTTCAAAGTTAGGTTGGGCAGGAAAGTCCATGAGACCTAATCTCCAATTAACCACCAGAAATCTGGAAGTGGTGCTATGGCTCAAGGTGGTAGAACACTAGCCTTGAACAAAAGAGCTCAGGGATAGCACACAGGTCCTGAGTTCAAGCCCCACGACTGATGGGGGGGGGAGGGGTACATCTTAATAAGCCAGGCACCAATGGCCCAAGCCATTGGTATTAGCTACTCAGAAGGCTGGGATCTGAGGATCATGGTTTGAAGCTATGGGGAAAGTCTGTGAGACTCCTATATCCAGTTAACCAGTTAAAAAAAAAAAAAGCCCTCGAAGTAGAGCTCTCAAGTGGTAGAGCACTAAACTTCAGAAAAAGAAGCTCAGGGATAGAGCCCAGACCTTGAGTTCAAGTCCCAGGACTGGCACACATGCATACAAAAAAAGTATATCGTGATAGTACTTCAAGTACTTATATACTCAACACTGAGCTTTTTCCATGCTGTATTCTTATTAAGTGACTGGCACAACTCAAAGATTAGTAGGACTTAACCTTCACTGGAACACTGCCAATATTAGATTTTCTAAAATCTCTGCCGTTTTCACATAGCAAACAAAACCACTTGCACTGTATGTGGATATCAGGAACAGAAAAGTAAGTGAAGGGTCACCTCTACAATGCTCTGGAACCACTTGGTCATCTCGCCTAGCTGCAGCTCTGTGTCCTTCCAGGTGTCCTGAAGCTGAGTGAGCATCTCATCAATTGATGCCTGAGCACCCAGGGCAGGCATGGACCGTAACTTCTCCCCAGCTTCCAAGGCTAGCACATAGGTGGTTCTCCAGCGCTGCAAATGGATCTCTTTATTCTACACAGACAAAAAAAAGTGATGAGGCCGGGCGCTGGTGGCTCACGCCTGTAATCCTAGCTACTCAGGAGGCTGAGATCTGAGGATCGCGGTTCAAAGCCAGCCCGGGCAGGAGAGACCGTGAGACTCCTATCTCCAATAAACCACCAGAAAACTGGAAGTGGCGCTGTAGCTCAAGTGGTAGAGTGCTCGCCTTGAGCTGAAGAGCTGAGGGACAGCGCCCAGGCCCAGAGTTCAAGCCCCACGACCAAAAAAAAAAAAAAAAAAAAAAAAAAAAAAGTGATGAGGTTGAGCCTCTGATTTGATAAAAATATGTGTTAGTATGTATTTCCTTCTGAACTTCTGGTGTTTAATTAGACATAAATTAGAAAAATGTGGTCAGAATGTACACATGGACACCCATTCACATCAACAGCTAAAGTTTGGGCTGGGAAGGTGGCTCAGTGGTAGAGCGCTTGCCTTGCATGCATGAGGTCCTGGGTTCAATTCTTCAGCACCACATAAGCAAAAAGAAACAAGCCGGAAGTGGTGCTGTGGCTCAAGTGGTAGAGCGCTAGCCTTGAGCTGAGGAGCTGAGGGACAGCGCCCAGGCCCAGAGTTCAGGCCCCATGACTGGACCCCCCCCCCAAAAAAAAGCTAAAGTTTTACTTTGAGGAGACAGCATATTCCCAAATAAAGTATTCTTTTATCTCCAGTTAACCACCAAACAGTCAAAAGTAGAGCTGTGGCTCAAGTGGTAGAGTGCTAGCCTTGACCAAAAAAGCTCAGGCCCTGAGTTCAAGCTCTAGTACAAGCACAAAAAGCCAGTGCATTAAGAGTTTGGGTGACAAGACACTGTTACTCCAAAAGTCTTCCATTCGACCCACCCATCTTCACTGTAAACTTTCTTGCATTGCCCACGAGGTTTGCTCTTTCTAGATGAATGGTGAGATGGAGTTTCCTCACCTTTCATCTAGGCTGTGGGGGGTGGTGTCTGCCATAGGCTGGTTTTGCTATGCACAGAGCACACAAGAGCCATGAGTGAAGGAACATTGGATTCGTGAAGCCCACCCATGGCTCTCCTGCTGCAAGTGCCTGCACTACCTTCAGCTCACAGATCAGACGTCTGCTCTGGTAGAGGCTGTAACCATCCTGGCTCTTCACAGCAGAGAGCAGGTGGCTGGTATTGGAGAGGAAGCGCAGCAAGTCCTCCATGGAGCTGGTGAAGTATTGCCACTGTCTCACCAGCCTGTCGATATCCTGCTTCCTCTGCCGAACGCCATGCACAGCACTCTGCCACTGGTCTCTCAGCTTAGAGAATTCTGAAACAAATTCTGGTCTGGGGAAGAAAATGGATGGCTAGAGATTCTTGACATGAGCATGCAGGAAAATATAATTAGCAGCCAGTAACAGAAGCACACTCACAATGTGTGTGCATAATTTACATGGGATAAACAGCGTCTTAAAATCTGGACCCTAATTCACTTAAACATCAGGGGCAGTGTGCAGTAGTTAAAGGTGTTTCTTATCAAGCATTGCAGCCTCTTCCTTTGTTTACCCTTCACATCCTTTCCCAGCCTCCCCCTGCCCCCCCCAACAACTACCATTTCTTAACACTGAGCTACTGTATCAAATATTATACCAAATATCTCATGGAAATGAAGAAAATGGATCAATGGGCCAGGGTTGGTGGCTCACACTCATAATTCTAGCTACTCAGGAGGTAGAGATCTGGAGGATTGAAGTCTAAACCCAGCCAGAGCAAAAAGTTTGTAAGACCCCCATTTTAACCAATAAAAAGCTGAATGTGGTGGCTTGAGCCTCTGCCTTGATTTGATGACCTTACATTATACCCATATATTGAAATACCACCCCATCCCCCACACATAGGTACCCAAATCAGAAAGCCTGGGCCCAGCCACTGTACTGGCCCTGTAAGTCCCAGACAGCTTACCTCTTCTCTAGTTCTCTAGTGTCCAGGAGTTGTAAGGATTGAGTGACGTAAGAATCAGAAATTATCTGGTTTATAGAAACCTCAGCTTCTAACATCTATAGGATCCAAAATATAAAATATCAGCAAATACAGCACATTTATTGGTATAGAACTTGTACTTCCTATTAAAATTTAAGTTCTCAAAGGATAGGAGAAACAATGAATTTTCAAATTATTTGAACTCAACTAAAAACATGCTCAACTATCATATCAATTATCAAGTAGAAATATAATACTAAAAGCAAATAGGTCTAATAACTATGCCTAAATGCCTAATCCTGCATGTTACTGAGATGCAGAATAACCACTAAAAATGTCTTATTTATTTATTACCAGTCCTGGGGCTTGAACACAGGCCCCAGGTACTGTCCATCTCTCAGCTTCTTTTGCTCAAGGCTAGTACTCTACCACTTGAGCCATACTGCCCCTTCTGGCTTTTGCTGTTTATGTGGTACTGAGGAAACAAACCCAGGGCTTCATGCATGTGAGGGAAGCACTCTACCACTAAGCCACATTCCCAGCCCTAGAAATGTTCTGTTTTAATTTAACCTTTAAAATTATCTTCAAGCAGTTATGCAAAGGGGTTTTACTTCAACATGTCAATTTATGAGTACAATGCATTTGATCAATGCCATTCCTTATCTATCTAGAAGTGTTTTAAATATCTAGCAGTACAAGAATGGGAAACTCTTCTTGATACTATTAATGCTGCACTATAATTATCCCAGGTGCTTCACTGTATAGTAAAGTAGGCAGGGAAAATGCACTGATGATTCTGAGCCCTTGGTAGATTGGCACGATGTCTGCATTCTGTGGAAGCAAAGTTGTTCTAGAAGCTTCCAGGTGCTGCAGGATACCCGAGCATGCTACCTGTCATTCATAAAACATAGCAGAATAACATGTTGAAATTTTTGAAATGTGCAAGAATTTTACAAATCAATGGACAACTGAATTTGCTTAAAGAGACACATTCAGTGAAGCAGCTCTGCACTACACAGTGAATTTCAGGACAGCTTGGTGTACAGAGTGACACCCTTTCTCAAAAAATACCAAACCCAAAAACACAAAAAGAAGAGAAATGGAAGCCAGGCTCGGGTGGCTCACCTCTGTAATCCTAGCTACACAGGAAGCTGAGATCTGAGGATCGAGTTTGAAATCAGCCTGGGCAGGAAAGTCCATGAGAATCTTATCTCCAATTAACCACCAAAAAATAAAGGTGTCATAGAGAGCCTTGAACAAAAAAGCTAAGGGACAGGGCCCAGGTTCTGAGTTCAAGCCCTAGTCAAAGATATAAAAAGATGGCTTTTGGAGAGCACAGGCTTACTGCAAATGCTTTCTGCTGTTCTAGGAGAGCCGGGAGACTCTGGGCAGTATCCGCTTTAAGCATCTCTTCTGTCTTCTCCAACAGCTCAACCCACTTCTCACAGCAATGAAGAAACCTTTCATTCAGTGCATTTTCCTGAAGTTCACTAGAAAGGTTTAAAACAAAGCAGAGTCACAGAACAATGACATTCTTGAACTCCAAGTTGTTAATTTTACCTCCATAGAAATGACAGTAGGGAATCAGTGTGCTGACCTGCAGTGGTCCAGTGCCGTGGCTGTGGCCCGGGTCCACTGCCGGTTCACTGTCTGCAGTGTCTTTATGGCAACATCACTGAGTGGGAGCTTGAGGCTCTCTTCGTTCAAGCGTTCAATGGCTGGTGACTGGGCTGTCAGTGCCAACACAGGATTCTAGAAAATAATTAAGCAGGTCCAGATTTTTAGATGTCAACAATTTATACCTAGACGACAAAATGGCTTCCTTATCTCAAAGATGAGACAAATCAGGACCTGAGCTAAATATAAGGCCCACTCAGTGCTATGGTCTATTCTGGAATACCAACCTGTACAGGTGGTCAGATTGAAAACAACCCAGGAAGTAGGAAAGCACACCAGATTTTGTCTTTTGACAAAATGCACCCCCCCCCCCGCAAAAAAAAAACAAAAAAAAAAAACATTTCTGAGGCAGAAACAAAGTGATTCATACATGCAATCCAAGGACTGGGAAGTGGAGAAAGGACGATCATGGTTCAAGGGTAGACTTGGCAAAAGTTACAAGGACTATTTCAAAGCTAGACATTGTAGCACATGCCTGTAATCTCAGTTCTGTAAGAAACTGAGGAAAGAGGATCATGGTCCAAGGCTGGCCCCGGGCAAAAATATAAAATGTTGCCTGAAAAATAAGTCAAAAATTGCTGAGGGGCAGGGCTCAAGTGTTCTATGACAAAACATGAGTATTCCACTCATATTTTGATAGAATATGAAATCAGAAGAAAGTAAAAATGATCAAATTTTCACTTGAAAAAGACATTTCAGGACAACCTCTAGGTCAACTCTGTTAAACAAAGCTCTTTCTCAGTATCCACATTCTCACTAGGACTGTGCTGTAATATTCTAGTTTATAGAGTCAGCAAACATGTTCTATAAAAGCCAAATCATCAATATTTTAGGCTTTTGTGGGCAATGTGGTCTCCATAGCAACTACTCAACTCTGCCTTGCAGCATGACTCTTGTAGTTGATGTGTAAATGCAGGGACATGGCTAGGTTCAAATAAAACTTTACAAACTCTCAAGTATATATGTATGTATACGTGTGTATATACACACATATGTTGGATATTATTTTCTGATTCCTGATCTAAGCTTATAAACATCAATCCTTCAAGATTCAGAAAGCTCCGATTATTTCATTCACTTATATTAACTACAGAAAACTTACTAAGGTAATTTGTTTGTTTTTTGTGTTTTTTTTACTGGTCCTCGGCACTGTCCCTGAATGTCTGTGTGCAAGGCTAGTGTTCTACCACTTGAACCATAGCTCCACTTCTGGCCTTTTCTGTTTATGTGGTACTGAGGAATTGAACCCAGGACTTCATGAATGCTAGGCAAGCACTTTACCACTAAGCACATTTCCAGCTTGCTAAGGTAATTTAAAAAAACCAAGTACTCATTTGTAAGAGTATTTTATTTATTTACTTTTTCAGTTTTGGGGCTTGAATTCAGGACCTGGGCACACTGTCCCTGAGCCTTTTTGCTCAAGGCTAGTGCTCTACCACTTTGAGCCACAGCACCACTTGCTTTTTCTGGTAGTTAATTGGAGACAGGAAGAGTCACACAGCCATCCTGCCTGGGCTGGCTCTGAACCACAATCCTCAAATCTCCTAAGTAGCTAGAGTTTCAGGTATGAGCCACATGTGCCTGGCTCTTATAAATATTTTATATCTGATCAACTCAACAGAAAAATTAAACTAATCACAAAAGCCAATCCCTACATTTTTCTGGTTCACTGAAGCTAATCTGTAAAGGTCCTGAAGATAAAAAAAATATCTAGGAAAAGTTACTATGACATTTACGAAAACAGATACCTACCATTGTTCTACTTTCCCAGACCTTAGTGTAGGAATGAAAGGCAAATAAATAGCTGTGCTCAACAGTTAAACAGGCTGCAAACACCTTCTAGAATGCAGCAGTAATTAGCTTAATTTTAATCTTATGGTGAGCTGAAGCCCTTATGAAAAACAAACACTGTCAATACCAGAAATGAGTCAGGATTGTCTTCTTTTTCTTGATGGTAAAGTTGATCCAAATTCTCTTCCTCATGTGTAATAAGATTTTTTAAAGATCCCAGCCGGTCCTCAAAATCCTTAAACTGCGAGAGAATCATCTAGAAAAAGAGACATTTTCATTAGAGAAAATTTTCATGAACAAATATTAAGCATATAGCCTTAGGGGCTGATGAAACTTCATGGTTGTTTTCAACCACAGAAGCTCTTTCCTCTCTTAAAACAACAACAAAAACCCAGAGATGACTACTCGGAAGTCCCTTGGTTTTTTGGGTTTTTTTTTGGGTCCGGTCGTGGGGCCTGAACTCTGGGCCTGGGCACTGTCCCTCAGCTCTTCAGCTCAAGGCTAGCGCTCTACCACTTGAACCACGGCGCCACTTCCAGCTTTTTTCTTTTTGCTTATGTGGTGCTGAGGAATCAAACCCAGGGCCTCAGGCATGCAAGGCAAGCGC